CCCACAGCCCCTGCCTCCCAGCCCTGTGAGGGCCCCCTGCTATTCCGGCGCTGGGCTCCCTGCCTGGCACACCCAGTTTGGAGGCGCAGGGCCCCGTGGACTCACCAGGATGTCACTCAGCATTTCGTACTCAAAGACCTCACTCTCGTACTGCTCAGCCAGCTCCTTGCAGATGTGAATCGCTTCCTCCCACATCTGTGGGGAGCCCGCGTAGTCAGGAGACAGGCGCTCTGCTCTGAGCTGTGTCCCAGCACTCCTCCCTGGCCCTGCTCTGCCAGGCCAAGCCTGGTACTTGGGGGTGCTGCCAGGTGAGCTGGGTGCTGCAGGCTGGCCCTGCCCCAGGCAGGGGCCCCAGCAATGGGGGGCAGCAGCTGGGCAGAGGGGGGCTGGAATGATTTGGGGTGCAGCTTGTCCCCCAACAGGGCTGCTGCTGGACTGGGGCTGGCAGCTGCTGCCATCTCACCTGCATCCTGCAGGGGGCGCTGAAGCACCAGGGGGAAGCTGGGACCCAGCTCACCTGAGGGGCTGTCCTGGGGGGGGCAGTGCCCAATCTCTCAAGGGCTCACCCCCAGGCACAAAGGGGCAGCACCCATGCCCAGACCCTGGGAGGATGAGGGGCCTAGTGACACTATGGGAGTTCCTGAGGCCAGTGCTGGAGAGTGGAACATCTGCAGGAAAGGGGTACAGGCCACGGGGAGAGGGGTACGGGCCACAGGGAGAGGGTACAGGCCACGGGGAGAGGGGTACAGGCCATGGGGAGAGGGGTACGGGCCACAGAGAGAGGGGGTACGGGCCTCTCTGTGAGGAGACCACATCTGTACACAGTATTCCAGATGTGGGCGTGCCATAGTTTTATACAGGGGCAGTAAGATGTTCTGGGTCTTATTTTCTATCCCTTTCCTAATAATTCCTAGCATCCTATTTGCCTTTTTGACCGCCGCTGCACTCTGTGTGGAAGTTTTCAGAGAACTGTCCACGATAACTCCAAGATCTCTTTCCTGATTTGTCGTAGCCAAATTAGCCCCCATCATACTCCTGCAGGGAGGGAAAGTTGCACTCTCCTGGCAAAGAGGGGGGTTGCCAAACAGACTGGCACCATGTAAGTCCCTACCCTGCTCTGACGCCATGCCCACACTCCCTCTGACTTCTCACTTGAAAGCTCATGGCTTGGCCTGTCCCTTACTATGCCTGCCACCAGAGTCCAACCCTTTCCCTAAGAACTCAGGTTTATCTATTGCCTAGTGGCTGCTTAAAAGCATATGGCCTTGTACATAACACATCCCTATTGTCTTTAAACAGACCTTCATTTTATACTAACAGATTAGGTTGTAAAATCTGCTCTTCACTTATCCACATTAAATTTCATTTGCCATTTTGTTGCCCAATCACTCAGTTTGGTGAGGAGATCTTGGAGTCCCTCACAGCCTGCTTCTGTCTTGACTATCCTAAACAGTTTGGTATCATCTGCAAACTTTACTACCTCACTGCTTACCCCTTTCTCCAGATCATTTATGAATAAGTTGAAAAAGATTGGTCCTAGGACTGACCCTTAGGGTACACCACTAGTTACCCCTCTCCAATCT